GGTGTAGGATGGGGTGCAGGAGGGGATAGGGTGTGTGTGTAGGGGGATGGGTGTGTGTGTAGGGGGGATGCAGTGGCGAAGATGATTTGGGGCCACCCAGAACCTTTAGATAGTCCATATAAACTCAGGTATTTTACTATATATTATGGAATAGTTCAATCCCTCTCGTTTATTTTGATATAAACATCCTTTGTATGCTTCACAGTGGATGATAACGATTTTGGAAAGACATCGGCCCCACACTGACACATGTTGAATCAGTCACTGAGCGATACCGATATAGTTTAACAGTGTCCTACCAAGGTCGCTTAACGCCACAAAACGTTCAGTAATATTCAAAAACATTTGTATACCAGTTTGTTATATTCATTATTTTATACCCATCCACATCAGATAAACCTTAAATATATAACTAACAGATGATAAACATACTTGGAATAACTGCCAGTTACAAAAAAAAAAGTATTGCCAGTCAAAGTGGTCACTAGGCGAATCTTTGTTGTCGGAGGCACCATATGAAAGGACTTGTTTATGTAAGCTTGTACCTGTAACGGTTTAGTCATTGTATTCCTGTTATTTAGGGGTGTGGCTGCTGTTGTTCTTGCCTTCCTGCTGTTTGGAGTTACCATGACACCGGACGGACCGTTCAAACGTCCACATCCAGGTAGGTGTATTCTCCTGGAATATAGCAACGTTGATAAGGGTACCTTGCTGCAAACTTGTTCAATATTACATACACAGCATAAATCGACCCTGAATCAAGAAATTTCTACTGTTCGAAGTTGTGTTCTGAATCTAACATCATACCCTATCATAGGAAAAATTAATGCTACAACTCTGTTTACTGATTGCAATTGACGCGCGCCCAAAAATGATGTTTGTCTAATGGAATTTCGAAAGTATACTCAAAACTGGAAATTCCAGGATGTAGCCTTTTCTGACAATTCTGGCAATGTTTATATGAGATCTAAACTTCGGTATACATGGTCTATAGTAGCCAAAAGCGTTTTAATTTATAACATCATAACGGGTCTTATTAGCATTTCCCACCTTTTCTGTATTCTACACAGAATCAGAAACACGTTAGACATTTTTTGATCCTTTAGACCGTTAGTCTCAAGTTGGCGAAATGGCAGTATGGTGTAGTAAACGTATACTTGGTTTTGATTTCTGCATCTACCAATACAATTGGTGCTTGTGCGTTTTGATTTGGTATTTCTAGTGATCACTTTATCGGGACCTAATATATCTTTAGACTTACATGTTTAATTGGTATTTTTAATCGCTTTCCGTCCGTCGTCGTCCGTCGTGCGTAAACTTTTACATTTTCAACTTCTTCTCAAGAACCAGTGGATGGATTTTTTTCAAACTTGGTCAGAATCATCCTTGGTAGATGAGGCTACAAAAAAGTAAAATTGGGATTCCTACCCCAACCCCTGGGGCCAGGGCGGGGCCCCAAAGGGAAATTTAACCAATATTTCAAAAATCTTCTTCTCCAGACTCAGAGGTACTACAGTCATTTTCTCTACATGGAAAGAAAGATATCAGGGGCTTTACTTAAATTGTTAATTTCTGGACCCCCGAGCTATCCGTTCTCCCATGGGGAGGGGGTAAAGTTTATTATAGTTTATATAGGGAAATAACACTTTTGGGTATATTTTGACAACTTTCTGTAGGAAATTATTTTTACTTGGTGAGAATTATCCTTGGAGGAAGATGGTTTCAAATTG